CCAAGATATGTTAATAACACTTTTGATTCTTCGATGGTGGTCAAAATCATCCAGAGAGATTGAAATTGTTTTCTTTTTTAAGCAGCAACGACTTTGTCCTTATCTCCTCCTTCGAGCTGGCTCAAGTTTCCTTTCTCCTTGATCAGCTGAATATGATGATGCTTACAATAAAGCTTCCCTTCATGAGCTATGTAATTCGAAGGGCTTATCGTGCAGCCTCCATGTGTACACTTGAAGCAGCTCTTGTGGTACAATGTCCCATTCACCGACACCTTCACAAAAGTCCACATAACAAGCAGTAAAAGTTATCGAACAATGTAGCAATATCAAAGTTTTCACATTTTTCGGCTGTGGTTTAGGCTATAAGAACAGATCAGATTCGTTATTGAAACAACCTAAGAATCTGCTTTTGACACAATTTGATTCTGATTTAAGGATACCTTCTCAATCGGATACACGGTTTTGTCGCAGCCATGGCATTTTTCTCTTGTCCCACCAAACATGTTCGACACTTTGGTCCCAGCAGGTCTCTGTGAAAACATCTCTCAGATCATTAAAGATTTAACTGATAAATGACAAGAACACAATCAAGAACAGATTTTTGCCTGAAATTACCTCTCCCTCCAAAGGTCTATCTGGTTTTCCGATCTTTGGTGTCCCTATGCATGTATACAAATCAAAAAGATTCAAACTTTAGATTTATATGACCTTAAAAATTTCACATTTTGATCTGTTTTTTTATTTTTTTTGGTTGCTAATTATTTACCTTCGAAGCTTTTCTCAAGACTTCCAGTTCTCTTGAAGTTTTGATCGAAATGTGGTCTGCAATAGAGAACTCCTTCAAAGGAGTTGTAATTGCTAAGCTGTTTCAACAACAAGAAAATCCCAAAAACAATCAAATCTTTAAATCCAACAAGATTTTTACTTTAATCGATTGGTCTTCTTCATCTAGATCCACCTATGGGTTTATCAGAAACCATCACAAGATATTTAAGATGAATAAG